CGGCTGTCCACACTGCTGTCCGCATATTTGGGCGGCTGCCGGAACACTGGGCCGCCTGGGGCCAGCCGTGTCCTCAGTCTAGGGATGCCTGGCCCCTGGGAGGCCACCACCCCCTACTTGCCTGGGAGACCAGGTGGGACTAACTCCAGGGCTGGGATCTGGGTGGAGGGAAGGAAGGGGAGTTTGTGAGGAAAGGAAAGCAACTGCCCAGCACCCAGGTCAGGGCCCTGCTGGCCAAGCACTGTCTTTTGAGTCTGGGAGACAGAGCAATGGATGCCAGTTCCCTTACTGGCCACACCTATGTGACTTTGGGCAAGCCACAACCCTCTCTGAGCCTCAGTCTTACCCTCCAGACAATGGGCTTCCTCAAGGCCCTCTCAACTCTCAGGGGTCTAAAGATACACCCAGGATAGAAAGAGGCCCACTAGTATCCCCACGCCCACACCCCATGACAACAGGGGCACCAGCCTTTGGTCCTGCCGGCATCCTACCTGCAAAAGTGTCCCTCCTTCCCGCTTGGGGCACAGAGGCCAGCCACAGGGCCCTCCCTGGGAGCCCCCTCTGACCACATGCCCAGCTTCTCCTTCGTCCAGGGTCCTTTAGCCTCATATTTGTCCCTGCCCTTGAACTGCAAGTGACAAAGCAAGGTGGGGGCAGTGGGCTATGCTATCTGCCTTCCTCCCCTCTCCAGTGGGGAACCCAGGCCCAGCCCTGAGGTGGCTCTGAAACACCTCTGGGATGGATATGCTTCCCTGGGGATGTCAGGGTGGCTGGAGAGAGAGTGTCAGCGTCCCAGAAGTCCTACAGCAGTCAGCCTTGCCCTCCCTCACCCCCTACCCTCCCTCAGAAGGGCCTCCCACTAAGGCAGCGGTTCTGGGTGGCACTGGGCCCAGAGCATGAATCTGGCTGGCAGCCCCAGAGGTGCACCTAGACCCCAGCCCCCTGCCCCAGGCCCATCACTGGCTCTGCCAGAGTTAACAGCAGTGCTCTGGCCCCTTCTGTTTTCAATTTGGATGTGGTGGACAGAACTTAAGGATTTTCATGTTTCCTTAAACATTTCTGGGCCGGGGCCCGGCACAGGGGCTGAAGAGGGAGACTTCAAGGAGAAGAGTGAGGCACCACCTGCCCCCTCCTGGAAGGCCCTGTCAGCACCACCAGGCCCACACCTCACAGGGCACCAGGGTCCAATGGGTGGTGGAGCCCAAACGATTCCTTTCACAGATGAAGAAGCCAAGGCCCACTGGGCATAGGGCGCAGAGTCCAGGTGGGAGCCCGGGGCAAAGCAGTTTCTGAGGTGGCAGCTCTATAGAGGGGTGTCTTCTGGGAACCAGAGACCCAGGTTGGGAAGGGCCTCTCCATTTGAACTGGATTTGAACCTCCCTGTCTGGGCCTCAGGCCCTGGCCGTGGTCGTACAGGTGTGTGTCTGTGTGAGGGGTGTCCAGACTATGCCCTGGGAGGCCTGGCCTTCTCTGACTGGCATTGTGGTTTGGGGTATTCTGGTTCTGTAAATCTACCAGAGAATGACTTTTCAGGGCCTACTGCAGCAGCCCCACAGCTCAGGGTCTCAGCTGGGACCCCTGGAGCTGAGAACCAGGCCTAGGTCAGCCTTTGGATCCATTCACCTGCCAGGCCTGTCCTCCTGCCTGCCCTGTGCTCAGCTGGCGTTTGCCTTGGCCTGCCTCTCACCAGCCCCATGGAGGCCCGAGCGCCTGGAATCGGTTACATCCGGCCCAGCCGTCTAAACAGGCCTGAGGCCCCAGAGCTCGCAGGGCCCTAGGGGAGCCCAAAATAACATCTGAGTCAACGTCCCTGCAGACACCCCCACCCGCCTGGGCCCACAGGGAGGGGCCTAGAGGCAGCCCAGACAGGGGACTGGGCCAGGTCAAGTGGCCACCTGCTCCAGTAGGGGCGCAGCCAATGGCAGTCACAGCCCAGAGGGCAGCAGGACTGTAGGGTCAAGAGAGGGAGGCTGGGGCGTAGAGGGAAGAAGAGGCCCTGCCCTGGGGCTCCTGTCTGAGGGAGACAGGAGTGCCTGCAGATGGTGGCAGTCCCATGTGGTCCAGGTTACAGCAGAGGGAGAAGCAGGGGGCTGGGAAAGCAGGAGGGAGCGCTCAACCCAGTCTAGGATCAGAGGAGGCTCCAAGAGGCAAGCAAGTCCTGAGGGATGAGTTGGCTCTGGGCAGGACAGGGACAGGGGAAACACACTCGGGACAGGGAAGTAAATGAGCAGAAGCCCCGGACACTCGGGGACACATACCAGGGCAAGTGGGGTGCCTTCACCCCTCCGTGGGCAGAAGCAGGTAGTCTAGGACAGCTCCCACTCTGACCCTATAGCCAGAATCCACCCCTCAAACCATGACCCAGCAGCCATGGCCAGAATGTTGATCCCACACCGTCCCAGCCGAGCACAGAGTGGCCCCAGCAGTAGGGACCACCTGCCCTGAGCCATCCACGTCCTCCTACCCATCCCTCCAGGTGGGCCCCAACCCCAGGAGACTCAGAGGAGGTGACTTCCCAAGTCTGCGGCAGGGTTCAGCCTGGGGTCAGGGACAGGAGCTAGGCCCGTCTCATCCATGGTCTGGTGTGGGGTCAGGGATCGGCCTGGGCTGGGGGAGAGAGAGCTCCAGGTTGTGAGACCTGGGCGTCTTTGGGGCAGAGGGCAGGGGGCATGTGGCCTGGGCTCCTCTTTGAAAGTGGTTCCAGCGCGAGCTGGCCCAGGTCGTGCTGTGTCCCCATGTCCTGGGGAGGGTGGCAGCTGTGAGGTCGTCCTGTCCCTCATCTCCAGGCTGGGGCAAGAGGCGGATACCTGAGTCCCTGCTGGCCTGTGGCTTAATCCCCCAGCTTTCCTGAGAACAGCTCTGCTGTTCTTGGCCAAGGGCCTCCGCTGAGCCTGGCACGGCCCCGGCTTGGCCCTCACCAGCGAGTGAGGGCTTGGCAGGGGCCCAGCCAGGGTGGTGGACATGATGAAAGAACAGAACATGGGGCCCAGGCGGGCAGCAGGGGACCAGCTGGGCTCTGGTCAGCAGCTCTGCAGCAGGGTTGGGGCTCAGCTCCTGGGGCCCCCCTCATCCAGTGGAGCCTGCAGCAGCCTTTTCCCCACTTACCTGGTACAGAAAACAGATAGACCTTGTTCCTTCACAGCTCTGAAACAAATTGGGGGTTTCCCAGAGGGAAAGAACCAGAAGAGTGAGAGCAAAACCCTGATCTGCCCTTCCCCCGTCCCCTTCCTGTGACAGGCCTTGAATGCATCTTTACCATGTCCCCAGCTCAACGCCAAGCTCTGGGTAGGGGGCACAGATGAATTTGCTGCAGAGTCCCGGGGGCCGGGCCACACCCCGCCTCACTGCCCCAGTTTCTCGGAATAGCCGTGAGCCAGTGCTCCGAGTGGGGCTTTGAGGAGAACTCCAGCTGACGTTTGCTCACCAGCTACCCGACGCCTGACATGTGCAACGTGTTCCCTGATTCCTCACCACCATCCTCTCTAGTAGACAGGGAAACTGGGCTCAGGGAGGCTAACTTGCCCAAGGTCAAATAGCTCCAAGTAGGACAATGGGAACTTGAACTTGGGATATGTGAGCCCAGAACCTGGTGGGGCAGGGAATGTGTGTCAGTGCATATGCTAATGTCTATGTGTATGTCCCCATGCGTATCTGTGTGTTCCTCTGTGTGTGTCTGTATGTCTGCGTGTGTGTCTGTGTGTGTATGTCCCCATGCGTGTCTGTGTGTCTGCGTACATATCTGTGTGTGTACATCTGGGGAAGAGTGGAGAGGCCTGAAGTTGGCTCAGAGGGAGAAAAGTGGTCCAGCAGGTCAGGACCAGGGGATTTGTCCCAGAATGGTGCCCAGGCAGTCCCTGAGAAACCCCAGAGTCCCCCTGGTCTATTCTGTTAGAAATTTCATATCCTTTTGTTACAGGTCTCATTTGTGGATTGCTTTCCTGAAAGTTGTCTGGAGAGAAACATTTCAGCTGTGAAACCCCAGGTATCCACCAAGTTCCATTTTTTAAAAATTATAGTATACTCCCACCCCGGGGTCTGGGGCTGGAGGGTGAAGGAGGACACAATGGCCGGTTCGTCTGATGGGAGATGACCATCACATGAAATCCCTGATTCATTAATTCTGTATGTTGAATATTGGCATCAGAGAAATCATGGAACCACGGATATACCAGACCACGGCTCCTTCATCATTATATCCTCAATGCCCAGCACAGGGCCTGATATATAGTAGGTGCTCAGTCAATACTTGGTGAATAAATAAGTGCCTCTTTGCTGAATGGATAATACCCGAGCTTCCAACCCTCTCTATTAATTACTAGCTGAGTGCCCTTGAATGAGTCATTTAAACTCTACTTTGGACTAATCCTAGTGAGAGCCTGAGACTAGCTCAGAGGCATTAAAAACACAATGTGTAGGGCACAACGCCCATCTATTGCTTCCAGGCAGACGTTACCAAGCGACCGTACGAATCTCACCTGCTGAAAATAGATATCCTCAGAATCCATTTTAATACCATTGCAGACAGCCATTGCCAGTGCAGCATGATTGGTGATGGAACCTATTTGCCATCCTGGGGCAGAACCAGCTCCTCCAGCCCAGAAATCTATGAACAAGTGGAGAGAAGCTACTGGGAAGGCCCAGGCCGTGGGGTGGGTTTAGGGAAGGGTAAGGAAGGATCAGGTAAGTAGGCTCAGAATTGTAGAAACTGGTGAGCTTGTCCTACACCGGCTAGGAAAAGACATGCACATGGAGAGGGGATAAGGGACCCCACTTGCTCCCTGAATCCTGGCAGAGATTGGGACCAGCATTCAGCCTGAAAACCACAAACAGCTCAGAGCTTTTATTAAATCCAGGGCCTGGGGGAAGGGCAGGGGCTATCAAAAGAGTTGGTGCTGCTGGCAGCTCAGGAGGGAAGTTTTCCCAAATGCGGGTGCCACCAAGCGTGGGGAGGGGTTGAGTGGTCTGGCTGAGGCCTGGCTTTGCTGAGATTTAAAATGCTCTTGTGTCAGAGTAGATCAGAGACCTAGAAGTGAAAGATAAAACTATAAAGCTTCTAAAGAAAACATAAGAGAATATCTTCATGACCTTTGAGTAGGCAAAGATTCTTACAGAGGACAGAAAAAAATACTAACCAGAGAAAAGATTGATAAATATGACTTCATTAAAATCAAGGACTTCTGTTCATCGAAAGACATTAAATGGGGAGGGTATATAGCTCAGTGGTAGAGTATATGCTTAATATACGCAAGATCCTAGGTTCAATCCCCAGTACCTCCATCAAAAAATAAATAAATAAACCTAATTACCCTGCCCAAATGGAATAAAGTTTAAAAAAAAAAGACAATATTAAAAGAAAGGTAAGCCACAGAGGGGGAAAAGATCTTTCTAATACCTATAACTAACCACAGAATTGTGTCAGCATATGTAAAGAACTCCTACAAATCAATAGGAAAAGATCAAAGAACTCAGTGTTCAAAAATGGACAGAAGATTTGAATAAGCCCTTCACAAACAGGGATATTCAGATGCCCAAATGCACATGAGAAGGTGCTCACCGTCATTAGTCATTAGGGAGACAAAAGTTAAAACCATAATGAGATACCCCTCTACACCCACCAGAATGGCTGAAATTGAAAGAATGACAATTCTAAATGTTGACAGATTCAGGAGCAACTGAAATTCTCATGTACTGCTGATGGGAATGTAAAATGGTACTGCCTTTAAGAGCTGTCCAGAAGTTCTTCAAATAATTAAACACATACTTAACCATAAAACCCAGCAGTTCCACTCCTGGCTGTATACCCATGAGAAATGAGTACATATTTCTACAAAAAGACAGGGCTGTTCCTAGCAGCCTTATTCATAATACCAACAAAAGGGAAACAACCCAAATGTACATTAACATTACCATGGGTAAATACATTGTAGTATAACATGGAATGTCCCATAGCAATGACGAAGAATGAGCCATAGCTACACACAACAACATGGATAAATTTCATAGTCACAACATGAGCAAGAGAAACCAGATGCAAAAAGTACGTAATGCAGGGTTCCATTTACGTGAAGTTTGTGTTCGCTTACTGAGCTAACAGATTACCACACACGGTATGAAAACAACAGAAATTTATTCTCTCACAGTTCTGGAGGCCAGAAGTCCAACATCAAGGTGCTGGAAGGGCCATGCTCCTTCTAAAAGCTCTAGGGAAGAGTCCTCCCATGCCTCTTTCTAGCTTCCGATGCTTAACGGCCATCCTTGGTGCTCCTTGGCTTATGGGTGATTCACTCCAAGCTCTGCCTCCATCTTCCCCCGGCCGTCTTCTCCCTGTGGGTCTCTGTGTCCCTGCATCTTCACGTGGCCTTCTTGTAAGGACACCAGTCGCTGGATGTAGGACCCACCCTAGTCCAATAGGACCTCCTCTTAATTTGATTACATCTGCAAAGACTCCATTACCAGATAAGGTCACATTCACAGGTACCAGGGGTCAGGACTTGAACATACCTTTTGGGGGACCCAGTTTAGCCCAACACAAAGTTCAAGAATAGGCAAAACTAATCTGTGGTGAGAGACGTCAGCTGAGTGGCTACCTGTAGCAGGTGCTGACTGGGAAAGGGCACAGAGGAGTCTGCTGGGTGGGAAATGTTCTGTATGTTGATGTGGGTGGTGGTGATGTGGATATGTAAGCGTGTAAAGTCCTCAGGCTACCCAGCTACCCTTTGTGCACTTGACTCTGTGTGTGTGATTCTTACTTTAAAATGCCCTTGCGGAGTTACATGTTGTGTGAGCAGATGTCATCGTGTAAGTCAGTGTGACGATGCACACACACAGGGAGGCACGGAGGCACACACACGGTCCCACCGATACCTCCCCCACAGGACTTGGTTTCCTCCTCTGTCACCCGGCAGGGGTTGGCGGGAGTGTGGAGCCAAGGTGGAGAAGGATGCTTCTCCCTCAGAGCTGAAAGCTGAAACCCACCCTCGGGGGCCCTGGAGACCACCCCACAGGGCACACTTCCTCCTCTGGGGCCTGGAAGATGAGTTCAGGCAGCCAGGTCTGCTCACAGTAAGCAACTTAGTGCAACACCCTGGGGACCTGAGAGCCTCAGGCCCTGCAGGAGTAAACCCCCAAGAGGCAGAGAAAGATGCAGGCAGGAACACTAGAAACCAGCAGAAGAGAGAGAGAGACACACAGGGAAAGAGGCAGAGACACAGGGAGAGAACAAGACAGAGATGCAGAAGAGAGGTGAGGAGAAGGGGACATCCATCCATTCGTTTATTTCCTACCCCTCTCCTCACCTCCCCATGTGTATTCTGAGCCGGGCCATGATGGTGCTGGGGACAAAGAAGGTGTGACAAAGCGCCAGCCCCTCAAAGCTCCTGGCTGTGAAATTAAGGCTCCAGCTATCCAGAAGGAGGGGGCAGGCTCTAGGGCAAGTCTAAGGGAGTTTGTGCCTCATCCCCCTCCCTCCACACCCCCTCAAGAACCCAGAGAGGGGACAGAGCCCAGAGAGCAGAGGAAGTGATGGGCCAACCTGGAGAGGGTCACGGACTCAGCAGGAACAGACCCTCAGTGCAAAGGGCCAGCTCCCTCTGCATCCCCACTCTTCTTTCTCCCCACTTCCGCCCAGGCCTGCTCTGTCTGAGGACAGGGGCTGAGGACAGACGCTGGACTTGAAATAAAGTTCAGATCCTGCCTCTGCCATTACTGGCTGTGGGACCTTGGGTGAGTTGCTTAATTTCTCTGGGCTTCGGTTTAGTCATTTGAAAAATGAGAAGAAAATGTTTTAAAATACAGGTTTTGTTATTATACAGGTATGGTGAGGCCAACAGATTAGGAGGTGGCTGCCATTAAAAAGGTATTTTGCAACACTCACAGATCCCAAGAGAAGAGGACGGCTAGGCAGGGCTGCACGGGGAAGCACTCATGTGGGTCAGGAGGCAGAGGGAGGGGGAGAACGAGCAAGAGCCTTTGCTGTGGTTTCCGTGGGGAGGAGCAGGCATGGCAGGGTGAGGGGCGGCTACTTTGAATACTTCCAGCGGCTCTAGGGTATAGGGCTGTCCCTAGTTGTCTGATACCTGGCGTGGGGCGACTAGGGCAGGTCGGTAGTGGCCCTGAGCTCCATAAAGGAGGTGTTTGGGGTGTGGATTGTTTGGTTTATAATGAAAGGCCCACTCCCAGGCAAGTGGTTTGTTATCTCTAGGAATTAGCTAACCCTGGGAGGGGTAGTCCCTCCAGAGTTAACAAGGTCCCAAGATGGCAAAGCACCAAAATTACAGAATAAAGAGAGGTGATTAAGGGAAATAATGGCAGCTCCTCATTCATTTGGAGATTAAATGAATTACTGTGCCGGCATGGTGCCTGACAGGTGACAGGAACACAGTACAGGCTGGAATCCAAAGCCACATCTCACCTCCTCTCAGAAGCCTCCCCAGCCTGACCCCATCTGGTACCTCTTATGCTTGACGGCCCCTGGCCCCCCATTACCACTGTCGGATTGTTTTCTCTACACCAGCGAACTCTACGCACATGGGTCTGGGGGACCAGGGGTCTCACCTCTCTGGGCTGATGGAAACAGAGTGGGTAGCTCAGCTTCATCAAAGAATATTTTGAAAGAAATGGAAGAGAGTAGTCACACACCTGCCCGTATGCTCAGACCATCTCGTGGCATAATGTGACCAGGAAGGTCCTCTTGGAGAAGCCAGTACCGGGAAGGGGCCTTCTCTCCTGTACAGGACATCCAGAATGTCGCGTCAGGAGGTGTGCACACCTCCTCAAACTCACCCCTCAAACCCAGGCAAGAAGCAGAACCAGAGGCTCGGGAGAGGGTGCAACGAGCATGTTGACAGTCAGGAAAGGAATCAGAGCATCTGGAGGACTTAGACTGTTCCAGAATGTCCCCTCACTGTATTTGAGGCCTGGGTGGAAAGAGGTAGGCCTCTCTCAGGCTCAATAAGCCCCTTCTGTTCCTCCTAAATTCAGATGATGACGCTCTAACCCCCAGCACCTCAGAATGTGGAGGCATTTGGAGATAAGGTCTTTAAAGGGGTAATCAAGTCACGTGCGGTCAATAGGGTGGACCCTAGTCCGGTATGACTGGTGTTTTCAATGAAGAGATTAGGCTAGAGACACAGAGGAAAGACCACACGAGGACACAGGGGGACGATGGCCATCTACAAGCCAAGGAGAGAGGCCTCAGGAGAGACCAACCCTGCGGACACCTTGATCTTGGACCTCCAGCCACCAGCACTGTGAGAAAATAAGTCCCTTTTGTTGGGTACTTTGTTAGGGAATCCTGAAAACGCCAACACACCCTCTAGAAACCTCTGGTGGCTCCGCCTTCTTTCCAGAAGCAGAAGCTGTGGTTGGGAGACAGGTGACCCTCATGCAGAGGTGTCTCAGGGTCAAGGTTAGGCCAGTGGTGCTCATGTTTGAATGGACATGAGCATCACCTGGTGGGTTTGGTAAAGCACAGAGCGCTAGTCGGACCCCCAGAGTTTCTGAGTGGGTAGATCTGGGGTAGGGCCCAAGAATCTGCATTTCTAACAAGTTTGTTCTCATGTGGTGCTGATGCTGCTTTGAGACCCAATCATTATGATGCTCGCTAAATTCTGAGAAGCCCTGGCCTGACAGCCAGAGTTCCCTGTGGGAGTGTCACTTGCAGAGATGGGCCACCTAGCCCGGTGTTTCTCAAGCTCTGCTGTGCATTGGAAGCACCTGGGAAGCTTTCAAAATACCAACACCTGGACCTGACCCTAAAGATTCCGGTTTGGGGTACAGCCTGGGCAGTGGGATTTAGAAACTCCCAGGGGTTCGTTCTAATGCATGGCCAGGGTTAAGAAGCACCGCTCCAGTCTGCATCCCCATTGCTCAGAGTGGGCTCCAGGCCTAGAGGGGGAAGAGGTAGCCCAGGGTCACACAGCGATTGGAGCAGGTCAGGGAATGGAACACCAGTCTCCTGAGGACCCTGCCTTTCCACCGGGTTTTCGTGATTTTTCAAGCCCCAGAAGCCTTTCTTCAAATGAAATATTACTCAGGATGCTAGACTATAAACCAAATACAACCAAGTCTGCCTTGATTGGTACCAGCTGGATGGAGCCTGAGCCCTGGCCAACCAGGAGCCCCACCTCTGTCCTCAGGGCTCTGAAGAACACGCCCTAAGATTGCTGACCTTCCCAAGATGTCCTCTTGCGGGCCCACGGTGAGTCTGGAGGGCTCTGGGGCCAGGAGCAGGCATAGCGCTTCCTAAGAACAATGGCGACCCAAGCTTGGAGGCCAAGACCCCAGTTCTTATCAGCTTGGCGGGAGCCCAGCATGTGGTCAGGCAAGGGGGGTCTCCCTCCCCACCAGCCACATTGTGGGTGCCCCTTAAGAGCCGACCTCCTTCCCACGAGCAGGACCACAGCCCACAGCACAGTGTGAGGAGTTTGTAAACACTCCTTGTAACAGTGTCTCTCAGACTCTCTGACTGTGACATGCAGGAAAAAAATTCATCATCATCGAGTACTCACATGCAAACACATGTAACTCAGACAGAGATTCAAGACACAAGGCTGAGTTGGTCACGTGTATTACACTCGCATCTCTTCTATTCTCTCATTTTAATATGCCGTTCCTGACCCACGAAATCAATTTCACACCCCACCAATGGGTCACAGCCTGTAATTTGAAAAGTGCTGCGAGAGCGTGAAAGGCTGAGCAGGAAGGGCCAGCATCCTCCCAGAGTCAGTTACTGGTGGCTTTGAGCAGTGCGGGGACAGCTGGGATCTGTGCTTTCGGAAGCTGCCCCCCCCCCAGGCAGCCAGGCGGCCTGTGGGTGGGCTGAAAAGTGCCTCCAGGCTTCCTGCATTTGCAGATGCCACCCAGGACACATCTCCCTTTGAGAGAAGGGAGCAGGATGCAGCTCTGGCATCATCTCCTTCAGGAAGTCTTCCTGATTGCTCCCCTTTCCCACGACTGCTGGTGCTGGTGTCCTGTTTGTCCCCCTGGTTCCAGAGGCCCGAGACCCAGCCAGAGCAGGCAGTTCAGGAATGTGAAGTACAGAAGGAACCAGGGAGTAGATAACTCAGGCCCAGCAGGAGCCCCTGGCCCAGCCTCGCTGGCCTCCCACCCTGCATCCTGGCAGCTGCCCTGCCCGCCCCGTGGGACCCGCCCGGCGCCACAGGGATCAGGCAAGCTGAGGGTTCAGGGCATGGGTGGAGAGGTCTGCTCAGGGCAGGGAGTGGCCGAACGTGGTGTAGGGTTGGAGACTGGCAGAACCCAGGAGGGAAAAAAGCTCCCTGCCCAGCAGTGTTCCCAGTTCAGGCTCTTGGAAGGGCTCCTGGGCACGGTGGGCTGGGGGAGGCAAAGTGATCTGGGCACTCAGGAAGGAGCACTGCTGTGAGCCGGGCAGATGGAATAGGCAGGCCGACGGGCGTGGACAGCTCCAGCCACCAGCTCCCAGCACCTGCACGGGAACCTCGGGGGCAGGCAGTTC